CCCGCCCCGGGGCACTCCCGGTCCCGATCCCGGTCCCGGCCCCGCCGCTGCGCCATGTGCGGAGCCACCGCCACCGCCACCTCCCGCACTCGCCCCTCAGGGGCGCCGCCACCGCCACGCAGGTGCTGATGGGATACAGGAAGCCGGGCCAGCCGCCGCCCTGCGTCACAGCGCCGCTCTGCGGCCGGGAGGGTCTCCCATCCCGCCGCAGCCAATAGAAGCCAGTCTCCCCCCCCCCAACAGTCAGGAGTAGAACGTTGGGGGCCGAGGGTTCGGTGGCGGTTGGGGGGGGGGGGCACTTGCTGAGGGAGCCCAGCGCCGCCCCCCCCATAAACCCCTATGAGGGCTGTGGTTGCACCCCTAGGCATCCCCCCACACACACACACACACATCCACGAGGGCTGTTCTTGCACCCTTAGACACCCCTGCCCCCATGAGGGCTGTTGCACCCCTATACAGACAGACATGCATAAACACACACAGGGGGTGGGTGCTGGGGCTGTTGCTCTATCAGTGGACACATCCATCCCCGAGGGCTATTGTTCCACCCCTGGAATATCTCCAGGCTGGCAGGAGAGAGGGGAGGCTCAGCCCACAGAGCCGGGCAGGCAGTGGTTCTCCAGGCTTGCAGTGGGCCAGTATTTAAACCAACGTGCCATTTCATCCCGGACTTCCTCCTGAGACCTTTTAGTGTGGAAAAAGCAGAGAGACCCTGCTCTCCCCTCCAAAACACCCAGCAGGTCAAAGGTTCAGGTCCTGCTGTGCCCAAGTCTCCATCAGCTGTCAGGCCCAGCTGCCAGCAATGGTCAGAAATGACTGAGTGCTCTCACTCATTTTGAGCAGAAATTGTATCCATGTCCAATCCCTGTATGTGCACCCCAACAAAAAACACTTACTTTGACTAACTGATGCTTTTGCAACAAAGAACATTATTATTATGATTATTAATTTGAAGATCTCTGTTTAGTTGTGTCACCACAGCTGTTGCAGGTAGAAGGCAGGACAGAGATGCCTCTTACAGACTAACAGAATCACAAAAAATGAGGGTTGAAGGGACCTCAGGAGGTCACATCTCATCCAACCCCTGCTCTAAGCAGGACCAGCCCCAACTACATCATCCCAGCCAGAGCTTTGTCCAGCTGGGTTTTGAAAACCTCCAAGGAGGGAGCTCCCACCACTTCTCTGGGTAACCTGTTCTGGTGTTTTACTACCCTCCTGGTGGGAAAATTCTTCCTAATATCTGACCTAAATTTCCCTTGCTGCAACTTGAGCCCATTGCTCCTTGTTCTGTATCTGCCCTCACTGGGAACAGTCCAACTCCATCCTCTTTTGAACCACCCTTCAGGGATTTGAAAGCTGCCGTTAAATCCCCTCTGAGTCTCCTCTTCTCTAGACTAAATCAGCCCAGTTACCTCAGTCTTTCCTCACAAGTCATGTCCCCCAGCCCCTGAACCATTTCCATTGCCTCTCCCCAATTTGTCCACATCCTTTCTGTAGCTGGGCCCACAACTGGACCCAGGACTCCAGATGTGGCCTCCCCAGTGCTGAACAGAGGGGAAGAATCACCGCCCTTGATCTGCTGGCAGCGCTCCTCCCAGTGCAGCCCAGGATGCCGCTAGCTTTCTTGGCAACAAGGGCACACTGCTGGGTCATATCCAGCTTGTTGACTCATATTCAGCTTGAATCAGTTGTCTCTGTCATGCTGCTGGCCATGTTCTCCAGAAAATATAGCTAGACTGAAACGGTCTGATTTACAATAAACTCCTTCACCAAATTCTCTCTCCAACCACCCTGCTTTCATTTACTAGGACTCCTTCCGCAGCTGCACATTCTTTATAGATCAGTCCCCTAGTAGGTAAATACTGTATGTAAATACTAGTCAACAACAAACACAAGCAGGAGACACTAGCATGAATCCTGGCCACTGCAGGCTTAGGTTACATCTGCAAGCTGAATTTAAATCAGCTCTCCAGATGTGCACTGGCTAACTGTGCACCTCAAATACTAAGCAGCAGCTGGCAATTGGACAGCCTGGACAAATGCCACCTGGCACAAAAAAGTATCCTTTCCAATGGACAACTTACCAGCCAAAACAAACTGTGATGAAACTCATGATTGATACGATGTGTTACTAAACATTTTCCAATGAATCCATGTCCACAATTGCAACACTTCATTTCTAGTGCCTACAGCAAATGGAGCGAGGGGCTTGGTTGGGTTCCAACAGCACTGGTGATATTGTGCCACTCACCCTATGGGCAGAAGCAAAGTGACACAGAAGATTTTCCCATAACGATGGGTGCACAAACAGCCAGCCAGGGACATTGTATCTCTGTTCCCCTGGCAAGGCTGTAGGAAGAAAGTCACCTCTGGCTATCACATGAACTGACACCATGAGAAGAAAATAACAGCTCTTCTTCGAGATCCAGGAGCCTTTCTCCTGCATCCAGCAAGTTCACTGTCCTTCCACAGATAAATGCCTAAAGTTGGAATGGGATCTGAGGCTATGTGGTGGTGGTGATGTTGCTCCCCACTTTTGCACCATAGGCTGATAGGGCACTTTCTCCAGGGAATGAAAAACCCATGCTCTAGCCACCCCCTTCCCAATCTGAAGGAATCTGAAGCCCACATCTTCTGCTTTCTTGTAGGTCCCTAACCACCAAGCTCCCGGCAAAGCAAGGCCAAGTGTGCCCTCCTCACCTCCTGTGTCACCCCAAGCAGCCAAATCCTTTTCTGCCTCTGATCCTATCTATCCATTTAATCGAAATATGGTTTCACAAAATGCACAAGCAGCAATGTGGGCAAGAACAGGGGCCAGAACCCAGGACACGTTCCTTTCTAGGGGCACCAGAGTGAGGCTGCTTTTGGGCTAAGTACAGACAGTCAAAAAGCCCGAGGCTGAATTGATTCAGTCTTTGGGGGTGAGCCTAAGCTGCATTGATTAAACCAAGAAGCAAGTGAATAGACATTCACTTTTGATTCAGGAAATGCAGCCATATGCCTGCAGTGACCCAGGCCAGAAGCCGGGGGCCCTACAGCATGCCTCCAAACCTGCCAGCCACTGCCAAAGGGAAGGGACTGAAGTGCCAAGGTTTCGTCCCCTCCCTGCTCCAGTGGAGGGGACGTGGCCAGGTCCCAGCCCTGGCCTAGCATGCTGGAGGGTGGGAGTTTA